TTTAATTTCAATCTTACGTTTGTATGGATCTTTGTTACTCTTTCACCTGAAAAATACTGAATGGATTTTAATGAAACTTAACAGTAATATAGCTCATATATGATAATTACATATATATAATAATTTATGTAGTTATTGAGTGAATTGGCCAATATATAACAATAAGTGTCACATAAGACGGGAAAAAATCTCCCATCTGCGAGCCATTTTGGCCTGCACTGCAAAAACAATAAAAGTTACATGAATGTAATGTAGAGTGAAAATGTATCTCTTAAATAGTTCTAAAAGAAAGTCCGTGACACCATATATCTATTTTTAATGTGTAAGTCATTACCGCTAAAATAGTGAATCAAAACTAAAATATTATTTGATATCTATTACCAAAATGCACATTTTGTATTAACAAATATTTTTTTATCATAACAAATACTTTTACCGCTTTTGATATTTAAAGACGATAAACTTTGCTTTTTACACTATGTCATTTCGACAAATATTTAAAAAGTTACAACGATGACAAAGTGATAGTGCGGTGTACTATGTAAAAGAAAAAAAATGGGCTATTCGCAGTATCTGATCCTATACGAAGCACTAACAATAAAACTGTGATACAGTTCCTTCTTATTAAATGATGAAAAATATATTGTCATAATAGGTATTTATGGTTATTGAATTTTAATGAAAAACTCAGAATTTTACTGTTATTCATTTTTTTAACGATATTACTTAATAAAGTTTACTAGAAAAAAATCCACGCGGACCAGGCAGCGCACGGGACATTTTTTTTCTAGTAAACTTTTCTTTAGATTTAAACATCTAGCAGTTAAATGCTTAAAAAATAAATAAAATCATAGATATTACTTAATGTTACAAAAAAGGTTTACTTAATATAATGACAAATAACCCATTTTTCGCTAGTAAGCACATACTTATTGGAATCTCTGTCCGATAATATTGGTTTTGTAATAATTCTGCAAAATTCAAAGTAAATAATGTAGATTTTTATAGGTAAATCATCCCTTTCATCACCCTACGCCTATAAGTATTGTAATAATGTAGATTTTTATAGGTAAATCATCCTTTTCATCACCCTACGCCTATAAGTATTGCGATGTTGTAGCTAAGAACCAAGTTCCCATCTACTTCTATATGGGAATTCATTAAATTCGATATAGCTATTAGGGCACGGAAGCGCAACAAACAAACTCACTTTCGCATACTTACTAATGATCCACCCGGGCATTGTACAATAAAATATAGCCTATGTCACTCGGACAAAATGTATTTAAATAAAGAAAAATGTAATAATAAATAATGTAGCTACCTTATGATGAATTAATATTTGAAACCGGTTCAGTAGTTTGACAGATTATTTGTTACAAACATACAAATCTTGCCTCTTTATAATATTAGATAAGATTAGGATTAAGATGTAATTGATGAAAAAGATTTAAAAATAAAGTAAGTAATAGGTTTATTTGATTATATTTGTAAAAGTTACTTAGCATTTGTGATTAACAGTGATACGATATTCGGTAATTTTTTAAACAAAAAAAAATTGGAAAATAATTGCCATGATTGCACTACTGGGAGTACTCTTCATTCGAGCTTTACACTACCAATAAAAAAGGGTCGATCACAAAGTCTTTGACCTGTTATATGTGAACGCTTTAAAAGAAAACTACAAAGAGAACTATAAATTGATAATAAATGAGATTGCTATGGTGTTCTACCTAACGTTATGAAAATTTTATAATGCGCCTTTAGTTAAATCAAATATTATAAACTTTGCTTTGGTGATTGCATACTTATTTAATTTAGTGATCTAAGGCAGTTGCCACCATTGTCCAAAAAACAAACGGGAATTACTGCTTTCTTCAACCTGCGACATAAACGTCATTGATTGGTATTGTATATAGGGTGATTAAAAACATTTGAAGTTAACTTCTGGCATCTACATAGTGGGTTTCTGTGAATTATGTAGGTATATCAAATTATGACACTAGGGACTGACACTGCATTTGTGTATATCACAATCTTAGTCGTCCGGCATTGACATGACAATGCAGCCACTACCAATTTTAAATAGTCGACGAATAAAAGTAAATGAATTTTATATTTACTGCTAAACTATTAAAAAAAGAATAAACAAAAGATGACTTTTTGAGTAAGTGCTAGTTTACTATAAAATTTACATACATTAGAGATATTTATGTAACTACCTGATTTAACTTCACACATTTTTGCGAAAATTGATTGTAGACTTGACCTCGCTGGTTAAGTCTCTATATGTCTTAATAAATCAATCTTTTAGACCGACGCAAGGTACTTAATAATTCCCGCGATATTAATTCCCTTACTGAAGTAACAAGACTACGGTATATACCGTCTTAAAATACTAACTAACTAAAAAGTGTGAAATAAAAAAGATAAATTTAAAAAATCAAAAAAGCCGACTGCTTAATTATACTTCAAATAAAAACTGAAAAGAAAAAAACAAGCCCAGTAGTCTATAATTCTGTTAATAAGGAACAAAGCTATTTTAACAGTCGGGACCCACTGTTGAAAAATATTATGTATTCTTGAATATCTAATGGGTCCCGACTGTTAAAGTAGCTTTGTTCGTTATTAACAGAATTATAGACTACTGGGCTTGTTTTTTTTTTTCAGTTTTTATTTGAAATATAATTAAGCAGTCGGGTTTTTTGATTTTTTAAATTTATCTTTTTTTTTAAATATTCAGTTGAAGATAGCTATAATTGAGTATTAACTTTCATAGGGAAGTGATTTGGCGGCAACTCGATACAAATCCTAAGATGTCTTTATTGAAATCATTAATCATCAGCCTATTTATGTCTTCGTGGCTAAGGCACATCAGGCATTCCCAATGGATGAAGTAGTGAGTAGGGAGAATGGGCCATGCATGATATGTGATAATATTATTATTAATAGTCAATCATTTATTTTATTTACTTTACTCATAGAAAAAATATATACCTACCTAGGAAAAAGAATATTTCATAAATAATTAGAATAACAATTGGATAATCTATTAATAATAATAGGCTGATGATGGTGATGATGAATATTGGAAAGGGCATTCAAGGCATACATTGTTAACTAACAATAATACTATATTATAAGCTAAAGAAACGAATACAATTCTCATACTTTGCATAATCACGATACACAATTCGGTGATCTTTTCTGGTGATTTTGCTAAATTACTTTTTATTTCCTTCCCTTCCTTTTGTGAAGTTTCGACAAAAGGGCTCCGTTGCTGGCTCCTATTCGAAAGTTGATAATGTGAACGTAGCCTACATAAATGAAGCAAGAGATCTAAAGAAAACGGGAAAATCAAATAATATAGGTAGGTGCATTGACTTCGGTTTCTCGTTACTTATTAACAGTATTTCATATTTTTCTTTTAACATTAATTCAGCAAACGTTTTTCACCTTTATGACTAAATTGATCATAGCTTTTGTAGCCATAAATTCTCATCGCACTTTGTTGTAAACATTTGTTGAGTAATTTTCAAATCAAACTTTATATTGATGTTAATATTAACATACACTTTTTAAGTATCCTTAAAAATGAATTATAAATTATATTAATAACAATCAAGATTATACAAGATTATAATCTTGTATAATCTTATTTATTTGTTATTGATTATACAAGATTATAATCTTGAAAACAAAATTCCACAAAGATATTGCTTTTATTACTTCTTTTTAGGGTTCTTGTCAAGGAACCCTTATAGTTTCGTCATGTACTGTTCGTCCCCGGTTTTGCTTGGAGACAATTAGCACTAGAGAGCTGTCACTTTGTGGAGATGTGTATTTTAAATACGTCGACAAAGTGGTAGAATAAAATTTTGAAAAATATTTTTAGGGTAGCATGTAACCTGGGAATGATTTTTTTTCATCGTCTACCCCATCGTGTGGGATATCGTTGAATAGTTCCTTTAAAATTACTTAGGATATCCTATCACTATTTTTCGATATAGGGATTCGCTTACTAAATATTGCACTTTAAAGAGCAAATTCTGTTCGGCTAGGACTCCCCCCCCCCCCTCTTTTAAAGCGAAACTATTGACTTGAAAAATCTGGAAAAATGCATGCTTTTCATAAAATTTTATGGAAAATTATAACGGTTAAGATAAATTTATTACTTATATATCGTATCGAATAGTCGTTCAACTTTGGTTAAAGATAATTTCTTACCTATTTAAAATTCCTTAAAAGAAATCATTAATGTCACTAGACATAGACGAAATAAAAAAAAACTGCAACAATAATGGCGGTTTAATTCTTAGTTTAGGCTGACATCAAAGAATGATTATATACGGGTTAGACCGTATGTCATGTTATTGCCGTTGCATAATCTTAGTCTTGTGGCCTTCTAAAAGCACGTGTTCTAAATTTCATAAAAAGATAATTATGTCATGTTTGGCCATGCCTTATTCAAAAACTATAACTCGCACTGTAATGTGCACTTATCATTCAAATCAAACCGGCTTAGTTGCTTTTAAGATATGGACTATTAAATCACAAGGAGGGGGATTGCGTGTAACTTTTCCTCAATGTAAAGTTATTGAACTTAGAATTATTGAATTTGGTCGGTAAATTTCTTTACAGGTATTTCTACAGCTGGGTCAGCTCACTAAGTTGATGAATTGGAGACCATCTTCCTTGCTATTTATATAAATGCGGATCCGATAAAACTATGGTATGATGACGTATCCTCGGATTTTTATGGATGGAATTGGGAAAAAGGGTCATGATCCATTATGTGGACCCAGAGCAGACTGCCGGTTCCAACTGCTTTACGTAGCTTATAAAACAAGGAGGAACTGGAGATAATAAATATCTGGTCACCTATCCTAATACCGCGCCATTACGAAAGTTGATTAACTTCCACGACCGCAGACCCAACGCGCTAACTAGTATGCACCATCGAGTTCCTCCGTTTACAAATCAATTTTCCTCTCTTTCAGAATGAAGAAGATTGATCCGAGGCGTGTGATTAGCGGGTTGTTTCCAATCCTTCATTGGTCCCGAGGTTACGACGCGCGGACGGCGGTTGGGGACCTAATTGCTGGCGTCACTGTCGCCCTAACGCTGATACCTCAATCTATTGCTTACGCTTCGCTTGCGGGGTTCGAGCCACAGGTAAGGCCGTAATTACTTTTTGAAGTTAATCGACACTTAAAAGTTTTCAAATGGCCTTTAGGTTTGTAACTTTTTAAGATGGTCTTTGATGAAAGAAGTACTTAAATTAACTGTGCGGCTGGCTGTAAGAATTTTAATAATATTCTTTAATAAGTTTACACTTGTTGATATAAAGCATTAAATGGAGAACGGATACAGACCAAAAGTAACTTCTATTTTCACTACCTATTACAATAACTTTTTGTAAAACCAGATTTGTTACATTTTACATTTGCGAAGCATACAGATATAAATTAAACAAAATGCAGCAACGATTTATTTTGATCAGTTCCTGAATTCGCGTTTGTATGTTATGTCGCGTAAGTTTATATAATAATTATTAGAAGAAACTAAAACAGATGCAATATCAAGGTGTCTTTTTACTTACTGAGAAGTTAAACATTTTGTTTAACCACGTTTTATTAGTTTCGAATGCTAACTCACCTCTTTTTCATTGTTATTATGACCAAGGTCATTGACAAGAGATGCTTTATTGTTAAGATCGACACCCTCGAATAAGCAAAAGTGAAGTCGTTACGTTAATTTAACTCAGTATTCTGTTAACTTATCTGGCGACCACTGATTGTGGTAAAGTTAATTTTACTAAACTAAAAAAAATTTTACTAGGAAATTATCGCAGTTTTTTATTTTCCCAGTTTGACCTGGGCCGAGTGAAATTTTTCCTGATGAAGTTTTCTTTAGAATTATTAATATAACAGTTTTAATGTTCTAAAACAAACGTGAGTTTCGTGGAACACTCGACTGGAAAGAAGTTAAAAATATTATATACCACCGATCCGCACTGGGCCTGTGTGGTGATTCATGGCCCAATTTCCCTATTCCATCAAAGTAAAGTAAAAAGTATCTTACTCACCAATGCGCACTGGGGCAGCGTGGTGACCCACCAATTCTCAATGGGCCCAAGTAGCGAGACATGGCACAATAGTCCTATTCCATAAAAAAGTACCCTACCTACCAATGAGCACGTGGGCCGCGTGGCGGGTTATGGTTCAATCTTCTTTTTTTTTAAGTACTCCGTAATCCTGCTGTTGATTGTCCGTTGTGCGAAGATTCAGAGGCACCACCTGTCATACACCAGCCCTCTGGCTCTCGGAGGAGTGGAAGTTAGTTCTCGCTCCGCCCTAGCCATCGGCACGGGAGCAAACCCCCAGAGTCCCTCGGTTCCAGATGCCCTCTTCTAGAGGAGGGAAGGAGCCACAGGTGGCTGTGATACCGTGGACATTCTGAACAGCCTTTCATTCACTCAGACATCTTACTATCCGAAGGCGCTGGCTCCGGTACCGAAGTCTCAGCGACCTGGCCCCTGAAGGGTTTACCCAAAATAGCAAGAGGGTCGCACCACCTGCTGCCCATGACGTGGCTGAATGATCACCGTCCCTGTCGCCATCCGTCTCTTTCACAAACGGCACAGTGCGGCACAGCAGCGCAATCCGCTGCCTTGTGCCTCACTTCCCCACATCTGAAGCATAACCAGCTCCGATTAGTCTTCGCCATATACCTCAACGGTGACAGCTACCTTCAGCACTTTCTTTTTCTTGCGCCGGACGACATTACTTCACGTCGTGTCCTTGGGCGCCTCTTGTGATATAGGCGGTTGGGCGGAAGCAGCGCTTATATATGCAGGGCTTTTTTCAGCACCCTGAGGAACTCATTTTTGTTGCGGAGCAGCCGTATATCTTCTGTGGTCAAACAGGACATCAATATCTCGACCATCTTCTTCAGGTCCATAAAAGCCTGCGTCATTTCTTTGTCGACCTAGCCCTGGTCGTTAAGGTCCATTTTCTGCTGCGTCTCATCCAGCGTTTGCCATGCGAACTTCTGCAGTTCGAAGCTTTGCGGATATTGCTGTTCCTGTTCCTCCTCCTTCTTCACGGCTTGCCTGTCGTCCTCCTTTTTGCTTCTCTGCATGCTTTGTGCACCTTTGGTCTTGCTTCTTCATCCCCCCCCTCCACGCAAACGGAGGACTTTATCTCTCACAATAGCCTCGGTAATTAATTTCATACCATTAGATCCGGTAATCTCCTGGCCCGGGTGACCAGCACATAAGTCGCTAGTGACAGAATTTACACTCTCGGGTCCAACTACCCCAAAGCGCTCGTTTTCAGTGAGAGACCATAACAAATACATTCCAGATAAAGACATTTTTATACGGTTTTCGCTCTCCCGCTTGAAGGAACATTTACCTGGCCCCATTAAAAAGGTGATTTCTGAAAAGGTTGTTTTCCTTGCAGCCCCCATCTCGAAGGATGGCGTCCCCTGGGGTTACGGATTGACCAGTGCCTGGCTTGGTTGTGCCGGAAAAATCTTGCATTATTTTTCGCCTAACCCCCATCCGCCATACTGTCGGAAAAGAAACTTCGTTTTAAAAATAAAGATATAGTAAAAAGTTAATTTTTCAAATTTACGGAAGGACACTGTTCTGTGTTGAAAACCAATTAAGCTGTTGCTATATTATATTTTTTTCTATACTGTAAACCATTTCATAAATAGTTTTCCTGTTATGCAAATCCTTTTCATTAGAGTTCATGTTGTGAAAAAACCTTGATATTGTGTCTTGCACGAGTGGGCGGTCATCTTCTGTGGGCAATCAACTAGGAACAATAAATGTACTTAATTATTGTGTTTCTATCTCTGAGCAATGTTTGTGACGTAATAGATTGTCAGTGCCTGTCGCAATGGTCGCAATTATCCACTTCTGCTTTTGTTGCCACGGTGAATGACTTGATGTTTTTGACAAAGGCTTTTACGATGGAAAAATAACTATTTGTAATAATAAATAATGCACCCTGCATTAGTCTCATCTTAACGATTCTCTGGTATACGAAGAAAAATTGGTTGGTGTCGAGTTCAAATTGCAAAATAAGATTAATTAATATTCAATATCTGCAACAAGGAAGTAGTTACATTATATAAAACAGAATATTTATTAACTTGTTTTTCAATTCTCAAACCAAATTACTGTATTAAGACTAAATATCCATTTTTATATTATGCAAGTTTGTAGAACGGCCGCACTCTTGCCTCCTGCTCGGTCCTCGGGTTGGTGGGTTTTGTTTTTGCTGCGATTTCATTGTTGTTGGTTCAAAACCTTTAACGGCTAAATGTTTTCGTGATTTTACTTCAATCGTCATTTATTTAGGTACCATTAATAACTGTACCGAAAAATAACAGTTTTTGTTATCACGAGTGTTATATATATATACACACAACGAGAAATAGAAAGTTTTGTTAATTGCTTAAAAATCGTTGTAAAGGTCATGGTTTCGACATTTGCACGGGCACAAACAAGTTTTCGCAACCGAAGTCGAACTTCATTTTTATTTAAAGTACTATTTCATTGTTGTTTTAAGATTAAATTATTTGTATTCCTTTACCCCGTAAATGGAAAATATTTTAGCAAAAAATTAGAATTGCCTTAGTACGCAAGTCAATGACAAAATATTATTATTCAAATAGGTCTTTTAAATCAGCTAAAATACTTACTATAGCTTTTTTTTTTAATTCAGCCAAGGTTTTTTTATATTACTATCTTTGATTATTTACTCTGTAGATCGAGCGTCACAGCGATAAAAACAGACAAGATTTCATATACTTACTTGTGTGCGTGACACGCAAAACAAAACACGCGAATCTTGTATCTTACACTCGCGAAATAAATGTCATTATTTTTGTCTCGGCGCACATGCGTAAGATGCCAAAAAAAGTGGGTAAACTTTTTTTTTTTTCTTTTGACACACACCAATTAGCCTAGCCCCAAAGTAAGCACTATAAGGCTTGTGTGTTATGGGATGCTAGGGTAACGGATAGAATACATATACTGTACATATATAAGTATATTTATATAAATACATATTAAACATCCATGACTGGAGTAAAAATGCTCGTATTCATCACACAAACATCTGCCCCCACCGGGATTCGAACCCGGGACCTCTCGAGTCGGCGACAGCCATGAAACCCGGCGTACAAACCACTCGGCCACGGAGGTCGTCAAAACTTAATCAAATCAAAATTAGTATATGGTTCACACCTTTAAAAAAATAGACGTTGAAATAACTGTAAAAAGTAAAAAATTATACTGGGATATTTGAAATAAAAAATATTTGTGCAAAGGACAATGTGCAAAACGCACCCAGCTCCGCCAACAATGTAATTAGTGTGAATCGATAGATCTATGAAAAACTAGCCTTTTTTAGTATGACACCGAAAATAAATATCCTGGGAGACAAAAGATATGACACCGTAAAAAATATCCTGGTAATCAATAGATATGACACATAGGCATATTTAAGTAGCTGAATAAATTCATTTTATATTAGTACCATCATTTTATATTATTAGTAATCATAATAAGATGCCATATCGTACTATACAACCAGATATACGACAGAGCCTGCCGACTATCCTGCGCTTGCTCTTGCTGATACATTTCAAAACGGTTTACGGATGATGAAGGACTTGCAGTTGCAAATAGTCGACTCGTCTTACTTCGTTGTGATTGTGCGCTCCCGTAAAATACATATCTTTGTGACGCAACACTATGGTTTTCAATTATTTTAATTTATTATTTTATGAAAATGATCTGAGCATCTCCCTATTCCATCCATAGGGAAGGCCTGTGCCCCAGCAGTGGGGACATTAATAGGCTGATGATGATGATCTGAGCATCCGGGCGAATGCACTGATCATTATGCTACCACGCTCATTATGGTCAGTGCATTCGACCGGATAGCGAAGCATGCGGATTCGAGACCCGTCTGCTGCCTGGTCCGCGTGGAATTTTTCAAGCAAAATAATTAATAATAAATAAATAAATATTTATATCACTCACACCAATTAGCCTAGCCCCAAAGTAAGCACTGCAAGGCTTGTGTTATTATGGGTTGCTGGGCTAACGGATAGAATACATATACTGTACATATATAAGCATATTTATATAG